AAAGTAGCCAATCCTCTATATCAAGAAAAAGTAAGATAGCTGTAAAAGGTGATATCGTCTACTATTTGATATAAGCGTTTTGTAATATATATACATATATATATATATACATACATGAATTATCAAACAGGGTGCACTAACGCATCAAATGGAAATAAGTATCAACACGCGAAGAATCAGGAGGACCCATCGAACACAACTCAGTTGGTTCGAACTTTGTTCCATATCGTTCAGTGATCCGACGTGACTTGAGATCACATGACTAACGTAGACAAAATGAAGTATCCGGTGGGCCACAGTGCGACATATGTTTGTTTCGATTTACCATATAACTCAATTCACGTGTCTCTTGCGTCTCGGCGTTCACGTGCGCTTGGATTCGTCCTATTTTCGGTCCGAATCAAGCTTGCATGGAATCACGTGATTTCGAGCGGAAGGTGAGCTGTTAAATCTGTCTGAATAAAACATGAGGATAAAATAAATACTGTGGATCAACTATCATCATCGGCTGTACGGTATCTGTGGAAATGACTTTAAATGAATGAGAAATTCAGTAAAAATTATCACCACGAATGTCTCACTTTTTTAAATGAAAAGTAGGCATAAATAAGTCAGTTTGATAGATGTGAACTACCAAAATGAATCATAGGTTAAAAAATACACATTTCTCTCGTTAACTTGGAAAATACAAACTGAACAAGCTAATTAGCTTGGAATCTACGCTTGAGGCTTTCGCACAGATTTGTCTAGTATCAGCACTTCATGATCGAGTGACAAAGTAGTGGTCCAAACCCCCGAGATAAGGCCAACCGAGAAGCTACGCGTTACAGTTCTATGACAACTAATCAGAAGCAACAGTTTCTCCCAATCAAAAACCAAGTGATTCAAATGGAAGTAGCGTGAGGAAGGGAACTGAAAAAGGCTTTTGGCTCATTTCTGTTTGGCCAATGGATCTTTTCCAGATAAGCCCCGCCAAAAAATTAACTCTTGCCACCCAAAAAGATTAGAAAAAAGAGGAGAGTGAAATCGGGACATGTAATTATTAATTTGCATGAAAAAGGTCCGTTTTTCGGGACTTTGCCTCCAAACGAACTCACACAAGTAGCTGTCCACTAGATATATATCGGTGTGTGCCGGATTGGCGTTTATTCTGCATCTTATAGACGTGTCAAAGAGATTCGATGGTTTGTGTGTAAGCTCCAGTCGTTGGATCCATAAATTTCTCGGTATGAGTAACTGTTTCATGTCAATCAACGTTTCAATCCCTTGGTATGATGGCCACATATCGGAGATGATGATTGAGCCAGGAGTGATGCAGGCCTGGATAATGTCCATCAAAGTGGCCGCAGTTCGATCTGGCACTGCATACATGAACACTTCTTTAGTTTCCCGACAGATCCCTCCGAAAATCCACTGCTGGGGAAGGACTCGCCCTGCGTGGCTATTACGGGGACATATTGACGTTTTATCGATCTCGACGTGTAGTCCTGAGCCACCGATAACTGTTGGAGTCTGCAAAAGCCGCCAGGCGCGAAAGAAGAAGAGGAAGGGAAGAAAGTTCTTCCGGTCAGCAGCGGTCGTGTGGCTAATAGATAATTTCTCTGAGCAGAATTTGATTTTTGCCAAATTTTCGGACCAGCAAATTAAGCTTTTACGTCCGAACGGAGAAAACTTTTTGCACGAAATGAGCTTAGATGCGGATAAGGAATTGTTTTCATCAAAAATAGGTCATGGTTGTGTGCAAAACAGTGGCGGGGCTTATCTGGCAAAGGTCTTGGCCAATTATTACTCTTTGTACAGTTTATTTAATCTACCGATTTTATTCAATAAATTAATCGCAATTTCTGTGTGGCCTTTTACCGATGTCTCGATGTATGTGGATATTTCGACAGACGATCACTAGTGGGATTCAGTGATTAGATTGTGAGTAAGATTTCGATGCCTGAATCCTGACTGGCGGCTGTTTGGATTATTATAGATGGACCACAACAGTTATTGTTGGGATTGAATATATATACTTGGATAAACGGATGTCTTGGAGACGACATGTGTCCAGTTAGCGATTATTCATGCAGAAAATCTTTTCAAGAGTGTCCTGTTTAAGATGAGATAATCTTTCAAAAAGTTGTGGCTTAGCTGTTTATCAGAACTGTGAATATGATTATGAATTGACGAAAGGGTTTGAAAATATTTTCCAGCCGAAAAAACTCTTTAAAATAAATCGTCCTAACTAAGTTCCATTTGAGCATAATAGCTGGTTAAACCTGAGACTTCAGAAATTATTCGTCCATACAGTGATTAATGATGATGCACGACAAAGTAGACTCGAACCCAAAGGCCAAGTGTTCAAAGCAGCCTTTTCAACCACAATTGACAGCAACATTTCAGAGTCCTAGATGGTAATTGTGGCCATTAAAACCCACTCTGTTTTACATGTTTGATAATCCAACCACAGCGCCGAGAGCTGTGATAGATTTTCGTGCCATCGCATCGTGATACTCGACTCAATGCTGTGCGATCTACAGGCTTGATTTGCGAACTTGTCATATCAAAGTAACGTCGGGAGAGGGCTGTTTCAATGATGTATTTATTCTCGATTAGGTGGATATATTGACGCTCAAATATATCCATTCAGACAGTAATAGAGTAGCCGTATTGTGTGCAGCAGAAAAACATAAATGTGCCTAGCTGCTTCGTAAGACGGTGAGGAAGCAGTACAGTGCAGTGCAGGCAGGCAGGCAGGCAGGCAGGTAGGCAGGAATTTGCATGTTAAACGAGGATAGACATTCAATCATTCGATAGTCGCAGTGATTGGTCAACTGCAACTTTTTGAATGACTGAATGTCCATTCTCGTTTAACATGCCATTTCCTCAAATGATCTGTACAGGCTGGAAAGTAAATCGATGAAACAACTGTTCTCCTCGGAACTTGTGCTTTCATGTTATGATGGTTATATTCTGGAATTTGCCGTGGCATGGTGTGCACAACTTCGTGTTTTCAATGAATCTCGATCTCCCCTCCCCATTGTGTTTTTCTTGAAATCCCTTCATATTGGCTGACTTCGACTTGCATAAATTTGCAATAGTTATGAGCGTGATATTCACAATGTCTCTCAAATTCTTGTGGCTCAATCTTTACCAACAGAACCGGTGCATTTAGTTTGGTACAGAATGGTGCGCTAAGAATCTAATTGTCTCTTCAGTACATTTTTATCGATGCTTTCTGTAATTTGAAACAACATCGTGTGGATCAACAACATGTTTTGGAGTTAACTGTGATATACGAGGAGCGCAGTTGATTTTGGATATTATACGGACCACTGATTCATTTTTAAGTTTTCCCCAGCCTCTGTCAATGAATACACTTAACACATCACTCATGGGTTTGTCACAGGTTTGTCAAGTGAATCAATGAATAGCCTGCCTTCATTACCGGGGTTTGAACGCAGAAATTTCACACAGAACACATATCCAATAGTATGCTGACAATACCGTTTTATGTCAGATCGTTTCTTCTTCTTCTTCTTCGGAATTTTCCTCCACTGAAAATCTGTCCCCGAATCGAACAGTTTTCAAACCAGTTTGGCCTCAATCTTAACACATTAAAGTGCTTGGAGTGCATTTTTAGTTCTTTCCGCTCTACATTCCCGTCAGATTATGTAACCCTTTTTTGTGACCTTTTGTCTAGAGTGACCACAGTTAAATATCTTTGGTGATCGACACACATTCAGAATTGTATGGAAGAACTTCGGCGTGTCTTCGTTCAGCTTCGAAAACTGAGACAATTTCGCACTCCCCAACGAGTTTTGTTCTCCTTTGCTTTCTCTCTATTTTACTTTGCTGCTCTCCTGCAGTGTTTCCCGATTTATTGAAACAAGACTCTAAAATTATCCGTCGTGGATTGATGATAATAAGCAATGAATCTTTAATTTCTGCCGAGTCATTAATCGTAGAACTTATTAATGTTCATATGAAGTCTTGCATGACCTTTGCCAATAAGATTCTAAACGACCCCACCCATCCTTTGCATTTTGACTTATCTTCTTGTCGATTTCACTCGATCACTCGTTCCTCTGATCGGTATCTGCCCTCTCGAATAAACATTTATAAAAACTCCCCTGTTCCATATCCGGCTCGGATCTTGACCAACACGGGACGATTTGTAAATGAATTACGTCAATCTTTAAATGAATGAATCCACATTCCGAGACATTTTTCTACACAACACTCTTTTGGATTTGTCTATACTTCTATATTTTCTCTGGTGTGAGGACCAGTGTACAATTGGTAACTGAACTGTAAGCATATCGCAGCTTGCAAAATTTATACGAATACAAATACAAATAAGCAAGCTTGATTGAATTCAGGGAAGGATGTAAGGATGTAATCTTTCAATGTACTATTTCAAGAGTTTCACGTTTCGTGGGATGGTATGGCAATAGGCTTATCCCAAAATTGGGAAACTAACTTCCATAAACCGAGCATTTTTCAAGTAAATGTGGTAGTCAAGTTTCAGCACGCGATGAGAACAATTGGCAGCTTATATAGATTTATGTATCTTTTGCTGTTTGTAATAATCAAGACCTCGTCTATCGCTGTAAATGAGTCTGAAATATTGTAAAATGCAAAATTGGTGTGCATGGTCTTTCTCCCCCAAGGGAAGTATACTTTCTGTCTTTTAAATGGACACATGGGTTTTTCCAACATTTGATCACAGTGAACTTTGGATCAAACACAGTAGAAAATCAGAGTTTGCTCAATCTAACTTTCATTTGACCCAACCAAACGTCTGTCATTTTCGTATTCAATGATCACTGAAAATCAAGAGGAAGAGAGAAAGAGACAATCTTGTAGTTTGCAAATTTGTGTCTGTTTACCGTTTGTCTTGGGTTAGTCGTCTTCCGATACCCCACCTGTCCCAATGTGATCTCTTTGTTGTCACAGTGCGTCTTTCCGTTTCCATGTTTTATCCTTGGGTGCCAGCCTCTCTCCCTCCCCACTCAGTTTTTCGGCATATCGCACAGGTTTTTCAGTTGTTCACGGACCCGGTATGCACCAAAATCAAGTATCTGGTTTTGATGTGAGACAAACACGTGGGGCTTTTGTTCATATTTAGACAGTGTTTTGACGAAGCGGTTTTCCATGGGATTATACAGTTCGTGAATAGATTTACAATCATCATCGGAAAATGGTTGTTGTTGTTGTTGCTGTTGTTGTTGTTGTTGTTGTTGTTGTTGTTGTTGTTGTTGTTGTTGTTGTTGTTGTTGTTGTAACTCGTCATCCGTGAATGTTGAAGCACTGTTGATCATCGTCACACATTCCATTACGCTGGTAGTCCTATGTTGACATGCCATCCGACGGGCTAATTTCCCTCCTCTCTTGTTCAATCAAATGATAGTATTTAAGTAACCACTTATCATTTCTAAAAAGCTTTTGATGGCACTTGCTTCAATGAAAGTAATAACAGAGAATCAGACGAATAACTGTTTTCCACAAGCGTGAAATGAAACAATGCATTTCAAATGTGCAACCAATTATTTTAGCCTCCATGGAACTCGTGAAATCAAGAACGTTAGGGTTCGAACTAGAAACTGTTGTTTCTGAGCGATGCGGTCGATGGGCAATATGCAAAATGAATACATACCCTAGTTGAAGTGTAAGTTTTGAATTGGGACATCCGATTTTACAAGCAGGGTATTTTGTTTTACAAAAAACTATTGTATGAATACAATAGAGGTTTTGGTTTTTAGTTATGTAGTACAGGACTGAAGATTTACACTCCCAATCCGGTAACTTGCTGCTTGTGTCAATAAATTATTGAGCATCAGTCCTCGTAGCTTGAGTGAATTGAATTCCATTTCACCTGTTCGTTGATGATTTCACCTCAGATGAGGATAAAACGTTTGCAAATAAATTGCCAAGCTCGGCAAGCAGGCGAAATATATTTGCTGTCCGTGTCTCCAATGTTAGTGCAAAGTGGTTACGGGCTGACTTGGCACAAACCTGCGAGGCTCGATTGACAATTTCTATAGGGCATTGATGACCAATTTGTGACCCGAAAGTTCCGGTTTCGAACCAATGCACCGCTACCCGCCTTCCTTATTTCTGTATTTCCCCAGGTAACCCTTGTATAGCCGCATCCCCCTTCCTGAAAGTTGATTGTGCATTTGTATATTCAATAAATTAAAAAGAAAGTAAAAGACATTAAAAAGACATTACTTGTGAGTAGTGGTATGGGATAATTGATGTTAATTTTAACTGATCATCCTTCAGACTTCGTCTTCAAGCATAATCCTCAGTTCATCCGGTCAACAGGTAATCTACTGTGACTCCCTTCATTGCTATCGGGCCAACGATGCACTGACTGATTATCGATGAAGCCGACACCTTAACAAACATGGATTGGCAATTCGACTCAGCCTTAGCACGAGCTGGTTGTCACAGATGTAATGCACATACGTTCCATGCGATGTGTCCGGAGTTTAAGGCCGGGACGGAACGGTAGATATACACTACTGATCAGCTCCAATAAGAGCGAAAGTCGAGTGTAGTGTTCCCGACAGTATCATCGACTGGATGAACTGAGGATTGTGTGTGACGGGTGAAGTCCGAGGGCTAGTCAGTTCTAATCAATTTCAGTTAACCCGCAAAAGTACTCACAATTAATTGTGAGTCAATTACGAGTTATCTAAAAACAATTCATGGAATCCAGCTGTGGTTGTAAAACAGTCATGTAATAAATAATTCATCAACATCAGAAGACATATGTGGGCGGAATTGACATTGGCCATCAATTTCGCGTGCTCTCATTCAGCTGTAAACGCACATTTATACGATCATGTGAAACTAAGATGCATAAGAGTTAAAATGAGTCATTTGAACAAAGTGTTGGTCAAGTGAGTCGAGTGATTTGTGTTTGGTTGGGGGTTGAGGTCAAATAAGATGAGAAAATTTGATATGGTGTGAACTGGACCAAACGATTTGGTGAATGTGGTGAACTAAGGAGGGGGAGGGAAGGTCATGTCACGTCAGGCTATGGTAGGGTGGTATCAAGTTTGATATCATTACTACCATGGCAAGAACAGTTGCGTCACAAATGTTTTTTGAACACATAATTGCGGTTTCAAGCGGTGAATAATTATCGCTTCTAAGAATCGCAAATTCCGTGAACTTCGAGGCCTCGCAATGACTCGAAATGCTTTGGGTGCGTCTACGTGGTGACCGGAGTCTAACAAATGACGGGCAATCGCACTAGATGGTAATTTCCCTCCGCGAAGACCAGCTGTTTCGGAATATGTTCACACATTCTGGTTGATAAGTGACGTTCTGTCCTTCCGATATACCGCTGACCGCAAGTAGATTGAAATGAATAGATGCAGTTGGAGTTAACACTAACGTCCTTTCGATCCAGATTGGTGCGTGTGAGACAACGAAACGTCCCGTAGACAATCATTAGTCTTGCGGCATTGTACGTCCTTTCGACGGCGCGTGTTAAACGTCGAGATATCCTTGTTGTCACATCATCTCCCTTGAAAGGCAGTTCCATATGGACATCGTTCTTCTTAGCCGATAGGGAAATAGGCTTGGTGTTGATTGGCTTGCTGTACTTGTGGATGAATGCGATGGGATAACCATCGTCTATCAAGGTATTGGTTAGTCAGTCCAGTTCATCTGGCAGGACGTGCGGAATGCATAGTCGACGAACCCTGTGAAGCACAGTGCGTACCAGACCACGCTTGTATCTCACAGAGCAGAAACTCTTGAAGTGTAAATACTGTTTTGTCCATGTAGGCTTTCGATACATAGATATCTGTAGCTTACCGTCTGACATTCGATTGAGTAGTGAGTCAAGGAATGAAAGTTTCTATTCCGATTCAAATTCTAATGCCAGTTTGATGTTGGGATGTAATGAGTTCAACTTCCGCAATAATGCCATGATATCGGTTCCGTTGCGCGCAATCACCAGTGTATCATCAGCATACCGCCGATAAAGTAGGGTTGAATTCAAATCACCTTCTAGTTTGTTTTCTAGTGTTGACAGGAAGATATCAGCAAGAATTGGCCCCAAAGGGCTACCCATAGCTACACCATCAACCTGTTTATAAATGTGTCCATTGAAAACAAACTGTACGTCGCGGACGCATAAATCNAGTAGGGTTTTCAAATCACTGGCGAGGAAACCTATTTCACTGGCATGTTTACATACTTCGTTCACGGCTTCCTCGACCGGGACATTTGTGAACAATGAAGTAATGTCGTAAGAGGCGAGAAAACAATTACGGTAATCAACGTCTGGTATTGCTTCTTTTAATTGGAATCTATCCTTCAGTCCAAACTTGCACAGTCTGGTACTAATTGGAGCAATCAGCTTCGCCAACCATTATTCAACTTTGTGTTGGGGAGAGTTAACCATCGATAGGATTGGTCGTAATGGGATCCCCGGTTTATGCAATTTCGACAATCCGTACATTCTTGCTATATGTGAACCCCGAGGTCTCAGTTTAACGAACGTGTTTGTGTTGATCACACCTTTCTTCCAGAGTCGCTTTAACGTAGTATAAACTGTTTTTTCCAAAGTTTAAGTTTTGTCTTTTGCTTTTGGATCAAGTTGAAAACGAGTGTGATCCATAAGTATTCCCTCCATCTGTTCGACATAATCCTCCTTATTGAGAATGACGACTCCCGAACCTTTATCTGGCTTCATAAGCAAAATTGACTTGTTCCGTTTCAGTTCTTTTATCGCGTTATTGTGTGCTTTAGACAGTAGGTTATGATGGCACGTTTGGGAAACACGGAACTGGTGAGCCAAGTCTACAAGTCTAGCTTTTAACCAACTTCCTGGTTCAGTTACACATGGTGTTAATTCTTTTAACTGGTCTGCAAGGTTCTCAAACTCTGCATCTACTTCGAAACTCTGAGGCTTCTTATCGGGTACACAAAAACCGAAACCCAGTGATAGAGCTTCCAGTTGCAGTCGATTCAATGCAAATTGCGATAAATTATGGACGTACCTTCTGGGTTCTTTTGGAAACTCATCTGTGGTAACTGCCTCTGATAACGATTTCAATAGATCCTTGAGCAACTCACTCCGACATCAGCACTGCAGTTCGCGGCTGAATTTATAGAATTTGATTCGACATACAAGACTGAGACTATCCAAAATGCCGTACATAGAGGAAATTTTCTGCCTGAGTTGTTTGAGTGTTTCAACAGTATGTTCCAAGTGGGACTTCGTTAAACGCATAAGGTTCCCTCGATTAGGTGGTAATTTATTCTGGCGAAAAGATTTCGTAAACTGACGAGGAAACATGTCATTGTGCAAACAATTCCGCAGAAATTCGACACGATGATCGGTTTCACGAGTCACACGACAACGAATGTTCAACAGTATATGCAAACGTTTGACCACATGAGCGGGGAGGTGCTCCTTGAAATATGTGAAACATCCTTTTCCTTCCTTTATCCATTTCATCAACAACAGAAGACATATGTGAGCAGAATTGATAAACAATTGTTTTCGTTCATATCTCATCGAATTGGAAATTCTACTCCCCGCCCGTAGGTAGCCAACACAGGGAACAAAAAAAATACTTTTTCAGGTTAATAGTCGAAATTAATGAAATATTTTCAGTCTTTTATGAATTACTTAATTAAAATCCGAACAAACGAAAGCGATAATTCAACGGTGGCAATCGCAGTTCGTTTTGTGAACCTTTTTTGACTTGCTGATCGATTCATCTTTTCCTGTTTCCAGTATCGAGCTCATGGTGTTGAATACAATGTGGAAGGGTTGCTGCTCCCGGTGCGGATGCTATTCCTGGTGTGTTCTTGTGCTGATCCTGGCCTACGAGATGACCAATACCATGGAGCGACAAGTTACAGTCTTCGGATAACTGTAGTGAAGCAAGCTTCCCAGGTGACATTAGCAATGCGCGTCACAGATTCTGAACTGCAAACCTGTAGTATTCGGAATAGGAAACGAAATCGAACAGCGCGAACTCGGTATCGGACTGAAAACCCACCGAATAGCGCATAGTCAGGTAGGACCAAGACGGGCTGTGGATACAGTTAGTTCTATTCAGAAAATCATGGAAATATATATTACAAGCAACAAACAATCATTGGTCGATTCTTGAATGTCCAATCGACAAGGATATGGTTTATCTGTTTGCCTTCTTGCACTCAGCCAATCCGGATGATGCCAATTGAGACCACAGGGTTGGTCGGTTATCCCGCTTCTTGATTGGTTACCTGGAAACTGTACCGCGGTGCGTGCGTACTCGTTACACGATCACCACAAAACCGTAGACCGATTGTACCAACCAATCAGAAACCGTGCGAGCCAGACAGAAGC